TACGAGACTTCTAGTTTTTTACATTTGATCCGTGCTGCTCTATAGAAAAGCTGTATTGTTTCTGGGCAAGGTAGGAACAGCCGTTGCGTCAGAAAAAGCAAAAAACTTTCCTTTCTTACGAATTTTTCCAAAAAAAAGTTTACTGTGATTTTTATAAAATTAAACTTTGGATGAAAAAATTTTTTAAAAAACTTTTAAAGAATGCTCGTTAAGCTTTAAATTTTCAAACATATGCTCAGCAAAGCTCAGCTGACTCGCTAGCTTTATACCTTCAAACTTATGCTGAGCGAAGTCTTGGTCTATCCATAAGACTTCTGATGGTACGGTGTGAATATACCCCGCATTGGGTTTCTACCCGATACACTAGTTTAATTTTAGAATTTTTAAAAAATTAAAATTTTAAATACATTATTAAAATAACACTTAGGATATTTGTAGATGCCTAGATAATTTCTTGTTCTGATCATAAAACTCCAACAAATGTGCACAAGGGTCAAACTTTGTTTCAATATCTATCACATAAAAGGATATTCACTGACATGTTGAACTTCATCGCTCGCGTATTTCATATTTTTAATAATAATATTTTTTCAGCAACTTTATTTGATGAAGTGAATTTTATTTCCTGAAACTAAAATAAATTTTTTATGGAAAATTGCTTTTCACCATTTGGAAAATTGCTTCATTTATTTTCCATGTAATAATTTACAATTCAGATGATAAAAGATGATTCTAAAAAATTAAACGTGGTCTGAATTTTTTGTGAGGTTTTAGTTTAATTTATCATGTTGATTCGTTGATGCGGTTTTTAATAAAATAAAATAAAATTTCAATAAATTCTATAAAATGAATATTTAACAGGACTGCTTATTAATATTTAAAATCTTTTTTTGAAATAATTTTTAAAGATTTTGAATAAATTTATTGGAAAATTTCTGTCGAATCACAAAACTCTACACCCTTGGTAATGCTTGTATGTCCAAAGCAATGACTTATTCAACCATAAATTCAATTCCTATAAATCGTCACCATCAGCATTTAATTTCCCATCCCAAAAATGAATGAGGTTTAAGTTACAAGACGCATAACCCAAATTTTTTTTAAATGATTTACAACACTTGAAAATTCTATACACATAAATAAAATCAAACCACATATATGTATTTACAAACTATTCTTTCAATCTCGGTCTCAATATTCTTTTCCTTTAAAAACTTTCAAGCTACCCATTTCGTTCCACAATGTTAAATAAATGTCAATAAGTTTTCCTTCCTTTAGTAAATTTACTTTAAAATAACAGCTGATGAAGTAACATGTGGGAAGCAAGCTTCTTTACTTTTCCATATTTACTTTTGTGCAACATGAGGAAAATTCTTATAAAGTTTATCCTTCTTTTTACTTGAGTTTTAAAGTTTATAAAAATAAAAATTAGATTTATTATGACGAAGTTGCAGCTCTATAGAAAGTTTTTTCACAAAGTAAAAGAAGTTAACGTTCTTCAGATTTCGTTGCACATTCTTTTGAGATTTATGATTTACTTTTAGTTGATTATATTAAAGCTGGATTGCCATGAACTGTAAAGTGTAATAATTTTTTGATAATTATAAAAGTGGATAAAAGTTTGGTGCTCATTAATCAATTAACGATTAATTGTAAGGAGATTTATCACTAAGGTGTCTATCAGATTATGACAGAAAAGTTCGGCAGTCTAGCCACAGGAAGTAGGACACAATTATTTTTTTGGTGGACGCAATCGGCTGAATGTGGACCTACTTCTGACAAAATTTCAAAATGATTAGACTCTTCATGCCGTCGTTCTTCAGTCAGTCCTTAAAGGTTCAGCCTTCTCTTCGTGATGGATACATGTCATTTAATAAGTTCCTAGATTTAAGAAATTGCAATACTTTTTAACTAAGTCCAACAAATTTTCAACATGAAACTTGAGAATGTTGACAAAACAGGAGCTATTTGTTGCTGAAAATTAAAAACTTACAGACTTACAATTAATCTTTTCAACAAGAATCAGTCAAGAATAATTTATGAGATAAGAAACTCTCAAAGAACTAAACACTTTCAAAGAATTTTTTACATCTTCCAATTTTTTCCTTTCTTATATAACGAAAACTTTTCATCCAAAAATAAGTAAGAAGGAACAGAAGCAACAACAATAATAAAAATAATAGGAAGCGATTAAAGTCACTCATAGCAACACGTTAGTGATTATTATTCATGAATGAAAGTAATTTTCTACAATCTACAGTTTACTGCTCTTATCTTTGCCACAAAATCTAATTCACACTGATTTCTTTCCTTTCTTTCTCATTTCGTCTTTCTTTTTCCCATTAACGGTTGTCGTGAGTGTTGAAAGGAACGAAAAAAAAATTGAAGGAAGTGAATGTGAAATAAAAAAAAAGTTATGCTGAAGAAAAGATAAAACTTTTCTTTTAAGTTTGGTGCTTTCAAAGAAATAAAAGAACACATAGATCTATAGAAGCTTCTTACACACCGTGCTACTCATTTATTCTATATGGATGGAAAAAAAACTCATTCATCTCAACTGTAATTTTAGGATTACATGCTATTCATTTGATGGAATGTTGTTGGTGAGCTTGTTGAATTTTTTCCTCATTCTGTGGATAAGAAAAAATTTGTTTTGCAGGTGTTTTATGGAAGTGGATATTGAGGTAAATGGAAATAATATAAGGAAGAATTTTGTAAGTGGTTTTTACAATATCTAAAATCCAGATGAGAATAGGAAAACTTTTTTGTTGAAAAGTTTGATGGATTTATGAACTGGATATAGTAAAAAGAGTCTTAGACTCATTAAGATTCTGTACTTAAAAGAGGTTTAGTAAACATTCAAGACCAATATGAACCGGATTTAATTATTTCGAGTCCAAAGGTTTGATTATCAATTATAGCGCTCAAGTAAGTGATTCCAGATTGTTGCAGAGTGTGAGATAATAAACAGATCCACCCAACTTTGTTGCACTAGAATAGTTAAAAATTATTAAACCTTCCTACATTTTTAAGATTCTGAGTCTATCATGAAGCAAAGTATGAGAAACACTGATACATTCTTCACAATAAATAAAATCAGAGTTGTTGATACAACTACTTAGATGAAGCTTATAACAAAACTAAAATAAACTTAAGAATAAGTAAAAGATTAGGTTAAAAAGACACCTAAATCGATTCAGAATTTGGAGCCATATCCCGAATGGCAAAGTTGGTTAATCGATAAAAAATCCGGCACCGAGCCTGTGTGACTCTTGCATGGTGCTGGATTTAAATCGAAACTAAAATCATGCCAGAGTCATGCCGGTTTGGCGCCAGATTTCAATTCGATTAACCGACTTGTGCTCTTCGGGTATCACCAAAAAAAAAAAACTATAATTTTGTGAAAAAGAAATATCAGGAAGGCATATTGCGTTGTCACAGATGAGTCCGAATTCAAATTTGATTTAGCCTAGATTAATAAAAAGATAACAACTCTGGAAAAAATCCCAAACAAAATTTAGATTACCGAGAATACCCACAAAAAGGATACATTTCAAATCACGGGAATGATTTTTTGTCAATTTGCACAAAATGAAAATTCCAACTAAAACCAAATGAAAAAAAGTTCAGAAACTTTTAATTGTTTTTGCACCCAATAAAAAGGAGTTCCACTTTGTGGCTTTCATGCTAACGTGATTTGTGGTCAAATTTCTCTAAAAAAGTTTCTCGTTAATTTTAATCTGAAATCTAAAGCATGAAACTTGCATTTTAAATCCACAAATTGCTCTTTCTTGTTTTTTTTTCGTGCTGCTTTCAACAGAATACAACTGTCGTAATTGCTCCGTCCATTTGATTTAATTTTCACTAAAATTTCACCTTTTTCTCGTATTTTCAAGTAAATGAATATTCATGACAAGGAAATTAGCAATCAGAAGGCAATAAAAAATGAGGTAGAAATTCGACACACAAAACGAAAAAAAGTCAACAAATGAATGCTCGCTTTTTTTTTTGTTCAATTGCCACTGATATGTTAATTCCGACTTTAATTTCAAATTTTACTATACAAAATCACGTCAAAGGGTCATAGAATAATGATCGATTTTTATTGCATATTCTTACTGCTGTGAAGCGCGACTATAAACCTTGAAAATGTACACACAAAGAATATTAACCCGAACGGTCGATGGAATAATTAGAGCAAAAAATGAGATATGATTTAAGTGAACGCACATATCGCATGAAAATTCCTTTTCACACAATATGAATCATGAAATGAGATTAAGAAATGCGAGCGAGTTGGAATGAGAATTATTTTTTCGTAATTTCCTACAGTTCCTACAGTGTGGAAAGAAAATGCGGTCAATTAGTAGAATTAAAATGAATTTATTATCTTGAGGATTTTTTTTCGGAGAGTAGAACGGAAATTTCATTTCTGATGGAAGTTGAATTTTAGATGGAAGTGGAGGTTCATAAAAAGGAAGTGGAAATTTAAGAGAAAGCTTATAATATAAGCTGTGGTAATTGAATATGATAAGGGCTAATATGATTTATTATGGATTAGATTTAATAAAGGAAGTATGATATTAATCTCCTCAAAGAAGTGATTTCCATTGAGAAATGAATTTCTTGGACCCCATTCTTAGTTTTACATGGCTTTAAATTTCAGCAAGGGTTTTGAATGATCCTTTGTTGCGGGATCTAACATCGTTTGTAAAAACTATACAAGATTGAATCTAGAGACTCAAAGAACTTAATATTGACGCAAGCTACCTGAGCGAAAGTTCACAACATGAATTATCAAGACTCAATTAAAATCAGCTGACTTTGAATCAATTCCATCCATTCGACCTACATATGTCAAATTTTTTGATGTCCTCGTATCTTCTGTCTTCCCATTCACTTTAAAAGTTATGCTTTATTTAAGGACACCTTCATCTTAGAAACTAAAATTAAAGATTTATATCATCAATTAGAATTATTTTATTTTAGTGCTTTTAATTTACTTTGGCTATCAATTTACATTTAAATCGTGGACTAATCTGTAGATTTATACATCTGTACTTTAAATTATTTGTTTGTATTTTGTTTATAAAAAAAATATGAACACATTGATAAAGTTATCATCTAATAAATATTCTCTGCACATCTACAAAGCACTTCCACTAACCTTCACCTTCATCTTTTTGTAATGCCATTCTTCATGGCAAACAAATGGGCATTTCTCATCGCACGATATATCATGATACAATAAGGGTTTAGCTTCGTCGAAACATAAACAAAATTCATTATTTTCATCAGCATTTGGCTGCTTTTTACCCCATTTAATATCGAAATTTATTTTCTCTCCATTCATCCAGTTCCAATTAGTTTTCGTCCCCGATTCTGTTGTGTTGGCTCCAATGAAGATAAATGAGTCTCGCCCATCAAAAAAGGACTCGAATTTAGTACGAAAATTCTCATCCTCCTTTGTATCGTTAAATGTTAATAATTTCATTCCAAATATTTCACATAATTCAGCTGCTTTCAGCCATGTTGCGTGGATATTTCCTGAGTAAAAATATTCTTTGGATACATCATCCGACTGTTGATAACTACCGAGATGTTCAAATGGATGTTTTGTTGATTCTTCAATTGAAATAATTAAAGGCAAAAAAGCAATAAAAACCAAAAATTTCATTTTTTTTTGAATTATTTGCAACTTTACGCACTGAGTGATTATCAACTATTGAGGTTCATTGAGCAAAAAAATGCTCTCGAAATTTGTATCAGTCTCTACAAAAACATTAACAGAATTTGATAACACAATTGATGCGCTGTTTTTGAGTTCATTGCAAAAATATTTGTGTTTGTAAACAATCAGAATTTTTATTTCAATGTTCAAGATAAGGAACCTTGAATGCTGTATTTTTACGCAAATTTCTAACATATTCATAGGTTGATAATCTTATAACACTCTTAAAAATAAATAATATTATTGAGATAATTTTGTAAATCCTTCTGAAAATCAAAACTGGAATAATTCTTATTTAGGTGGTTGAATTGAGTTTACTCGGATAAACTTATAGCTTGAGTTGTTTGAGTGGAATAGGTCAGTTCTAACGTAATATTAATGTAACAGAGCTTTTCGGAAATCTGTAAGCTTTTCTTTTGTGTGAACAAGGTTTTGATGCTTCCCCGATCCAGTATGGTAAAAATAAATTATGAACAACTCACAATCAGGTCTCATAAAGTTCTTTATTTACTAAAATTTTGAAATATCAAATGAACAATCAGAAGCGAAAATTCACACTGCTCAAATAATCTGACACAAATTTCTCCTTTTCAATTTCAAATTAATGCAAATTCATCAGGAAAACTTCATCCATAAACTTTGAATTCACATTCGTACATTCACAAAATCATAATGGAAATAAATCAAGAAACAAACAAGAAGAAAAAAACTTTTCTTTCCCCTCATAATGATGCATTTCCTCACTGTGCACAAACATTTTTGCATAAGAAATGATGAGAGAATCTGAAAGAGAAACTTTAGTTACAGTTGCTGAGAAGAAATTGTTTTGAAGATGAAAAACTTTTCATTTAGGTTGATGTTATTTTCTGTGGAAAATTAAATTTTATATTATTCGAGAAGAAAATATGGAGCGTGGAATAAATTGCATGGATTTATGTCCAAAGGATGGATATTGTGTGATAATAAAGTAATAAATTGTCATGGATTATTTGAGGGGTTTAAGACATTGTTTAAAATTAAGTTGCGTTCCTTCTGATCTTAAATCTGTAGATTAGGGTGGTCTATAAATTGCTTTTCAATGTGACACAATTATTAATAAATATTATGGTCCAGGAGAGCAGCCAAAAAATTGCTACAAACTTCAAACAATGAAAAAACTGTCAAAATTTCCACTCCTTGAACAAAAAACTTTAATCCATTCTCAAATTTTCTCTCATTCTCATTCCTTTTCCATTTGCACATTTCTCACTTTCAAATTATCAATACAATTTCTTGAGGTGGTTCTCTTTCCGCTCTTTAGCGATTTCTCATTTCAGAAACAAAACAACACCTGAATTATTTTAAGTTTTTTGATTTTCAATTTAGGTCATGAATTATGCTAAAATAGTTTAATATCAACTTTAATAATACAAATTTCAAAATTATGGTTATTTTTGGAAGAAAAAAATTAAAATTTGTGGAATATTCTTCAAATCACTTTGAGAGCCGTTCAATTATGAATTCCAAAAGGGTGAGGGAGGTGTCAGCAAGAAAAGAACATTAGAAATTTCTGGAAATCCATTGTTCTTTTTTTGCTGACACATTTCCCCCCCCCCCCCCCCCCCCCCTCGAAGTCATAAGTAAACGACCCCTTGTTAAACTTTTAATATTCAAGATTCCCACACTTTATTAAGATTAGTTTTTAAAAAGAGAGACCACAAACTTTTTTAATGCATTGAAATCTATCTTTACAAAGGCTTGCAAGTCGAGCTGATCAATGCTGCTTGAGTGTTATACATTCAGCAATTCATCAACTAAAAGAGTAATTTCTAATGAGATTCGTAATCGAGTTTATACGATTTGCTCTCTGCCCTATCTTTATTTGTACCAAAATTATTGCAATATTTGATCATCATCTTCCTTCATCTATGGCTATAATATGACTTTAAAATTTTTTGGTCCAAAAATTACATTTTTTACAATTTTTAAATTTTTGAGATGTCAAAATTTCTCTACATTAATTCAATTATTTTACATAGAACCACTTAGTGCAGTGTTGTCCAAACTGTATGCTGCGGTATACAAATATGCCGTAGATTTTTTTAAAATGACACGAGCCGCATGCTGTGTGCGACTTCAGTCATGGCTTACCAATAAGGTGTGCCGTGGCTCAAAAAGTTTGGACAACACTGACTTAGTGCGTTAATCCATAAGTAATAACAGTTATTTGACCTTCTTTTTTTTCAATTTACTATGAATTTATCAACATAAACTATCAAAAAGTTGATTCTAAATTTTATCAACTCAACATTTGTAAAACTTTCTACCATTCTCAATAAAATACATCTCTAATGAAGATCATCAGCAATAAAATTGAATTCTCTGTGCGCTCAATAAATAATATGTAACATTGTAAAAGCTAAATAAAACTTTCATTCAATTCATTCGAGAAATCACAAAATCAATTTGTACTCAACTCCATAACTCGATGGAAAGAGTTCACGATGCTGAATTACAAAATTTTCATCAGTTGTTGAAGTTTTAGCAAAGTCAACGTCTCTATCTAATTCATGTTCACCATCATGGTATAATTCATCACGTCTCACGAATGCTAGAACCTAGAGATAGAAATGAAGAGAAATTCGTTAGTAAAAGTTTTTTTTTTCTTCTTTTAGTGTGTGTTGCTGGTTTGATGAACTCACTGCGGGAACAAACTTGAAAGCTTTTTTAAGTAAAAATTTGACAGCAAGGAAAACCAGAATGCCAATGAAAAGCTTGAATAAAATAATTTTCTTCTTCTTCTTCTTTTTCTTTTTCCATTTCAAAAGTTTGAGGAATTTGCGTTCATAAAATTCATTTGATGATGGAGTTTCCAAGCTGAAAAGTAATTTAAGAATCATTAAATTTTGGTTATAAAAAATTCTGTTGTTTTTTTTTGAAGAAATTTTTTTGTGTGGCGTAATATAATGGAATAGTAGTACATTGTATGTTGCTGCCGCACTATGGGGCAAAATGAAAAAAAAAGGGACTTTCACTTTGAAAAATGGACTTTTCCGATTTACACTTTTTGGGTGATTTTTTCTTGTAGAGGACATAAAAGTAGATAGAAATGCCAAATTTCAGGTCATTTGGTGCTGATTTCGCGATTCTAGAGCTGTTTGAAGTTGAAAACTAGTGAAAATTCTGGTTTTTTCATACCATGTTTGAACCGGGAAATATCTTAACTGGTTTAAGATATTGCAAAACGGTTTTCAGTTCCTATTAGTAGTATATAAGAGCTTTATTTTGACATATAACAAAGTTTAGGTTCTGAATGTTTTCGTGCCATTATGGTAGAACATATGTGAAAATTTCAGGAAAATTATCTTCAAACAAGCCGCAACTATCATAAATGAAGAGTTTCCAGGCAAGTAAAAACGCAGTTTTGTAGCCCCATATATCTAGTTTTCAAAACTGTATAAACTTTGAAAAAGTAAGCTAACGTAATTGAGTTATGTTGATTTTAGTAGGTCGTTGAGTATTTGGCCAAAAACTAATAATTCTTTTAAAAATACGAAAACATAGTTTTAAAAATAGTTTTTTGGTGTTTTCTTATGAAAAATAACAATTTAAATGATTTTGTGAAGAAAATTTTTCAAAAACTTCAAAATCTTTCGAGATATAGGGGGTATGTGCTCTCCATCGATTTGGCCATTTGTCACCCTACTTAAACCACTATAACTTTTTTTTGAAAAAATATTTTTTAATTCTGTTTTCGGATTATTGTAGCCTAATGTAATACCTATCCAACGATATATAATACTTGCTAGTTAACTTAGTCCTGGTTATTTATAGGGCTGTTGATTGTGACATACGCAGTTTTTGAAATATTCCCAAAAATTGCATTTTCAAAAATACCACTTTTAAGCAATCTCGAGTATTTTTTAGAACTTTTTTATGTTTATTTATGACATTTATGAGATTATAAAGCCAAAAAATTAAATTTAGAAACTTTTTACTTCCCTAGTTAACAACTTTGTAAAGTACCCTTGGTAGTCACTATCAGGTGTGAAAATCTCAGTTTTGAAACTATTTTATATATATACTCGTGAAATTCTCTCTACACATCATATCAGTTTTGAACTTCATTGAACAAGTCACTTTCAAAAATGAACCAAAATTCAACACTTACGAAGAAAACACTCTGTGAAATTCTTCGCGACAAAACGTTAAATCTTGCAACACAGCACACGTACTGTTTGGCAGTAATAGAAGAAATTCATGGGAGAGAATTAGCGGAATCACAGAAACCAAGTTTAATTAATAAATTAAACAAGCTGAAGTCAAAGTCAAAAATGTTTTGTAATCAGTCAAATTGGAATAATGCATTAAGAGATCATGCAGATTTATATGAAGAGGAATTTGAAGTTGACTCACGATACTTCAGCGAATCTAGTGGAGGGATTCTTTTTGAGGAAGAATCTATATATGAAGCAGAAAATGTTACTGACACAGATGAAGATATGGATGAGATTGAATACATCGTCCATGACATAGAGCCTTCATCCAGCAAGGGCATCAAGAGGAAATCATTTGAACAACTAACAAGCGATAAGCATCGACGTAGAAGAGTGGACGAATTAGATATCAGTTTAAAAGAAGCAAAAGGATCATTGTTATCAGTTCTTCACTTGGCACTTCGCCTTTCTAAAGAAGAAGGAAAAGTAGAAGGAGCTAAAATGTTAAAAGAATTTATTAAGGCGTGCCAAAAAGGAGAGGATCTTCCAGAAAAAACTATTTTTGAAAGTGACTTGTTCAATGAAGTTCAAAACTGATATGATGTGTAGAGAGAATTTCACGAGTATATATATAAAATAGTTTCAAAACTGAGATTTTCACACCTGATAGTGACTACCAAGGGTACTTTACAAAGTTGTTAACTAGGGAAGTAAAAAGTTTCTAAATTTAATTTTTTGGCTTTATAATCTCATAAATGTCATAAATAAACATAAAAAAGTTCTAAAAAATACTCGAGATTGCTTAAAAGTGGTATTTTTGAAAATGCAATTTTTGGGAATATTTCAAAAACTGCGTATGTCACAATCAACAGCCCTATAAATAACCAGGACTAAGTTAACTAGCAAGTATTATATATCGTTGGATAGGTATTACATTAGGCTACAATAATCCGAAAACAGAATTAAAAAATATTTTTTCAAAAAAAAGTTATAGTGGTTTAAGTAGGGTGACAAATGGCCAAATCGATGGAGAGCACATACCCCCTATATCTCGAAAGATTTTGAAGTTTTTGAAAAATTTTCTTCACAAAATCATTTAAATTGTTATTTTTCATAAGAAAACACCAAAAAACTATTTTTAAAACTATGTTTTCGTATTTTTAAAAGAATTATTAGTTTTTGGCCAAATACTCAACGACCTACTAAAATCAACATAACTCAATTACGTTAGCTTACTTTTTCAAAGTTTATACAGTTTTGAAAACTAGATATATGGGGCTACAAAACTGCGTTTTTACTTGCCTGGAAACTCTTCATTTATGATAGTTGCGGCTTGTTTGAAGATAATTTTCCTGAAATTTTCACATATGTTCTACCATAATGGCACGAAAACATTCAGAACCTAAACTTTGTTATATGTCAAAATAAAGCTCTTATATACTACTAATAGGAACTGAAAACCGTTTTGCAATATCTTAAACCAGTTAAGATATTTCCCGGTTCAAACATGGTATGAAAAAACCAGAATTTTCACTAGTTTTCAACTTCAAACAGCTCTAGAATCGCGAAATCAGCACCAAATGACCTGAAATTTGGCATTTCTATCTACTTTTATGTCCTCTACAAGAAAAAATCACCCAAAAAGTGTAAATCGGAAAAGTCCATTTTTCAAAGTGAAAGTCCCTTTTTTTTTCATTTTGCCCCATAGTGTGCCGCTTACGGGTCGTTTGCATATTTCAGAATGATCAAGGAGGAAAGAAGGCCCACCTTACGAAATGTAAGAACTTTACCTTATCAATTTATAATCAAGACTTCTATTCTTTCCCAAATGGCACAAATCAGTTAATCGAAAAGAAAACCAGCGCCTAGCCGGCATGACTTTGGCATGGTGCTAGTTTCAATTTAAATCCAGCACCATGCCAGAATTCCATCGGCTTGGTGCCAGATTTCTGATTGATAAAACGACTTGTGCCATTCGAGTTTGGTCCGAATAAAAACTTAAATTGGCCCCTTTTAGCTATAATGCACTTATAAGCTATATTGCTCTTTTGTATTTTTTTAAATAAAATTTCAATTCCACTGCTTTGGGATTTGAACTCACTTCCCACTGTCTGGCATCCGAAGATGTAATTTTACACAATTTAACAAATTTTCTCTCACTTTAAATTCAACTTAATATAACAAAACTTACATTTCATTCTCGTCATCCTCATCATTATCATCATCTTCTTCACTATCCTCACTTTCACACTCAAATGGATTGAACATACCAAAAAAAGATTCATCCTTATTGTCAGAGTCATCCACATGATGAATAATATATTTTGTAGGTGAAGTAATAGGTTGAGGATTAAAATACGGTTTGAATTTGTGTGGCAATCCCTTTGACGGAATTAAATCTCTTGGGAAATTATCGATAGTACTCGCGTAAGAATATGGAATTTCTAAACTCTTTCTTATAGCTGATGCTATTGTTGTGGGTATAATTTGATTAGCTTTGTATAAATTCAATGGAAATGGTGTTGGTGATGGAATTAATCTCATTTTTGCTAAAATTTATTTTATTCATGTACTTCTAGATGAATTGAAATGTTAAAAGAAACTAAAAGATTTTGAACTGTGAAAAATTTGTTTCAACAAGATTAAAACTTATGTTTTACTTCGCTGAACTTTAAAATGACTTCTTTAACCTTTTCGCTTACTTTCAAGTGTAAAATCTTTATAATTTTCACCTTTTAAGTTTAAATGATTTTGTAGTGCTTAAAGCAAATTTTCAGTTCAACACAACAATGAGGTCGTTAACTCCACTTAATATGAAGAAAGTTATCTTAATGTGTTTAGTTCTATTTTGGCTTTTAATTTTCACTTTCAATTTTATTATTGTTAATTTTCCCGTCTGATGAGTTTCAATTGCTTTAAGCAAAATAAAGTTGGCATATTGTCTTCTTTACAGTTGGATTCAATGATACTTTTGAGAATTTCTTAAAATAAAATCTGTATTTTAATTATGAAAAACTTGAATATAAAACTGATTTAAATGAATTTTGTATAAGAATTAATGAACATGACTAGTCGTCTAGAATTCTTAGAGGGAGGATTGCAAAATCGAGAAAATCTGTTTTTAATAACTTGAAACTTTCAGTTGAAAGTAATTAAAACTTGAGCACTGAAAGTATTTATAGATCAAACGCAATTGTGAACAATGTTTGAATAATTTGGAAATTGTATGAATTATAATGACAGTAAATTCTCTAAGCATAAAAGGTAATAATCCATCTAGAGGAATCGAAGAAGTCAATTACGAAGAAAGCAATCATGTGCTTGCCTGTTTTATCATGCTGACCCCGCTCATCAATTTTTTATTGTAGATCATACTCTATTCAATCAAAAATATTCCATTGGACATTGAATGTCCAAAAGTCGGATTCTTTTAACAATGAAAATTCCCAAAACGTTTTTTCAAGGCGTGAAAACTCAGGATTAATCCTGAAAAATTCTAAAAAATCCCTGAGCCAATAAATATGAAAATCTTTTAAATCCCTGTTGCATTTGATGAATAATTTCGAGATTTAAAAAAGATTTCACATTTTCAGGATTAATCCTCAGATATCACGCCTTGCTTTTTTTTTATATCAAATATCTCTACAAACAATAAAATTTTACCACATTAAAACTTGTGGAGCAAAATGTAATGAACAAAATTTTATTTCTTCAAGTTTTTCAAAAATGAAACAAAACCACATCGATTTGTCATTTTGGATAAATTTTCATCTATCCACATGTCCCAATTTACATTTTTTGTGTTCGTAGATTTTCTTCTTAGTTTAAAGTAAAACTACTACTATAATTTACGGTGACGTGAGATAGAAATTTATGTTCTGTCCTATGCTCCTCATTAATTTAATTTTAATTACATTTTCTGTAGACGAAAGATGCGAAGACATATTTAACATTGTTGATGATGATGATGTCACTTACTTTTGTACAACAACAGTTTAAAGTAAACAAAGAAGGAAGTTTACAGATCAGATTTCACATATCTAAGACTAAGGCACACGTGATGAGGTTAATTTTAAAAATAATTGAAATTATTTGCATAAAAAAGATTACCACAAAAAAATTGGATATTTCTCCGTCACTAATAAAGACACATGTTGCTGTAGTGAGTGAACATGAGATATTTTAATGGATATTAATTACTGAAATGACATTCATCTGATGCATTTCACATTTTTTTTCCTTCTCATTCTCTCCACCCCGTTTAACATGAAAATGTTACATGTGTGGGATGTCATGAACCGAACGTAACATACAACATAAATAAATTTTTGTGTATGTAAAAAAATTAGTAACAAGCATAAAGAGATTTATGATGACACAAGAAATGTTTCTCGGGATGAGATAAAGAAGAAAAAATTAAATTAATTAATGAAAAATATTTTCATGAATGTTTTGGATGTGCATATGATAAAAAAATGTCGTAATGATGATGATGCAATTGGAAATGAACATGAACACAGAATTGTTTTGTTGAAGTGATTTGTGGATTTATTTTTAGGTATACACACACAATTTTGTGTTTGAAAAAAAAATCAAAGTACATGTTTAATGTCAACATGACGTTGTTAAAATCAGCGTTATTAAAAGATTATAATTTGTGGTAATTAATTACAGTCATGTTATGCTGTGCGTAAGGAGATGTATTAATTTACTCTAAATATTGAATATGTCAAATGGTAAATATGTTTGCAAACTAAAACAAGATGAAGACTAAGCTAATAATATTTTAGAAAATAAATTGAGAATTTTCCAAGCTTGGTAATTACAAGAACATAGCAAATTCTATCGATTTGACTTTAATCTGTGATTGGCTTGAAAAAGTTCAATATGAATATCCCATTTAATAAAAGGGTGCCACTTAAATTCAAAATGTGCAAACATTTTATCAATACCTTTAAGTTTATCTTCAACCCTTCTCACATCCTTTTCTACTGTATATATATAATTTATTGTTCTCTCAACATAATTCATTGACTTCTGTGAAAGTAATTTAATTCCAACATTATTTTTTACCTTTCTCCATACCTTCATAGATGTATTGCAATTCCATTATATTCTCATATTGGAAACACCTTTACCTCCTTTCCCAATGTAACCATGATGAATCATTTTTCTCATCCTTTAGCATTCTCTTCCACCTGGTTGAAAGCATTTTCATGAATATTTGATTTTCAATTAACATAAACTTTAACATTTTCCCCAACAAAAAGATGAATTGTTGTTTAAAAATTGATGAGTATCAGATTCATATGAGCAGAAAACTTTCATTCCTTATCAAATTTTATATTATGTTAAACTTTCTTGTACTTACTGAAATTTAACTCAATAAAGGAAGCTACGTAAAAGTTTTTGTGCTCAATTTTCTGGAAAAAAGGAACATTGAATTAATATTGCGTATTTATACCATCATTTTGGCTATAGAATTTTGAAAGCATAATTGTTTGTTGAACTGTAGAGTTAAGCAGAATTTTAAACTTTCCATTAATGAGTTTTCAGCTTTTTGTTTTCTATGCTGCGATGTCAAACTCCTCTGACTGAATCAGTCTTGAATCAGCGTCGGCATTTAATTTTTATTTCAACTAGGTTTCTAGCTTGCTTATATCGATAGTTATCAACATTCAAGAATTAGTCATTGGACTATGCTGAAATGGACATAAAATTATTTCATTTTAAACTAAGATTTTACTCTAATTTAAAAACACCCTCAAAACAAAGCATATGTACATCTTCTCAACTAAACTTTAATCAATATTGATGAAGTTTTAAAAGTGTTGAAAATTGTTTTTCTTCATTTCTTTCCCATCTCAAATAAAGTTTGCTACTGATTCTCTTGTTTGTTTTTATTTCCCCATAGTTCTTCGTCAATTTGATTACATTTGAGTTAAAATTTATTTTACAACTTTTTACATAAAAGTGTTACAAGTTGAATATATGTATCTAAAGAAGAAGAACACGAGCAGGCTTATTATTTTTCTGGTATGATATGGATTGAAATTTGAAGAAATAATTGGAAACAAAGAATATGTTTTTAAGCGCAATTAGATACAAAGAATATGTTTTTAAGCGCAGGAATAACATTGGCAAACTACAAAGACAATAATGAATTGTCTAGAAATCAATGATTTTTTTTTGGGAGGTTAGGTTTTGCTCGTTTGTGATGGCTTTATCAAGCTATAGAAAATTTATCTAATATTTGTAGACCTATCTGGCTAGTAACCTGTGTAAACCATACAGAATACTTCAAAGTAAACTGGATAACCGCCTTTTAAAATTTAATAAACAATTTTCTGCAGCATCACGAGACGAGTTTTAAATACATCCAGTCAAGATGGATTTTCTTTCATCAACAAATTCTTTCTTGTTGTTTTGAATTCTTTTTTTTCTAATCATTCTTTCAGGCAAAAGTTTTTCGTACAATAAAATTAAATTGCACCCCCTTTGCTAGCTTCCAAATTTATGTTAGTCTATATATGTGAGTACGAAAAGATGAATGAACGTGCGAGGCCAAAAATTTACAACCAAAACTTTTTCTTTAAAAAATTTGAAAATTTTTCTACCCATTTTCCTCATATTGTTTTTTCACCATCTCTTATTTTGACTATTTAATACTGATGCTGTGGCTGTAAAAGAGGGAAAAAAAAGTTGTGATGGAATGCGGCAATAAAACAATCTTCATTTAAATTTTCTCTTAATTTTATGAGCATTGAAAAAGTTTTTCCTCTCCTTTTTTACGCAACCACAAAATGCTCGTAAATTATTTTGTGCACAAATAAAGCATAGAAAATATGTTGAATTTTATATGAACGCAACTTGATGATTATTTTTTGATGAAAAACGTGAAGTGAAAATGAAAATGAAGAAGCGTTGAGGTGGGTTTTATGGCGAAGCAGAAAATTAAAAGTTTTTCAATTGGAACTTTTTTTTGCAGGAGTTATTTTAATTTAATTTACATTTTTATATCATGTTTTATGAGTTTATTTAATTCACAGATTTAAAAGATTAAAAGCTATGAATGAAATTTTTTAAAGTTTGTTCTCCTTTCCTTTTATCAAAAACATTTTATTGTAAAATTCTTTTTACCGATCGAATACTTTTCAATCCCCTCAAACTACCCCAACAGCAATATTCATTATCTTAAATAACTTAATTTTTATCGACTTGCCACAAAATTTCAATTTACATAATCACAAAAAAAGGCAAAGAAAAGAACAAAACAAAGTCTCGTCACTTTTATAAAAGGGAAAAGATTTACATTAACTGTAATTAAATTATTTTATCTATTGAGGACTAAAAGAACAATCGCAAATGAAATTTTGTTTAAAAATGAATCAAATCAATCAATGAATGAAAGTAAAATATTTTCTCGGTTCTCCCTTTTTTTTTCGATTTTACTGCTGCTGCTTGAAATGTAAAGGAAGTCGCTGCTTATTTTCTTGATTTTCTTCTTTATTCTTTTGTATTTAATGGATTGCATGGTTAGTTAA